TTCATTTCTGGTGGATGGTCGATGAATGACGAAGGTGTAACGCATTACAATTCAATTATTGATCAACATAGTTTAGGTGCTGAATTTTTACGTGATCAATTTGGAGAATGTGGTCGACCAAAACTTGGTTGGCAAATTGATCCATTTGGTCATTCAAGAGAAGTAGCATCGCTCTTTGCACATGTTAGTTAGTTAAAATAAAACTGATTTTCTCAAATGAAATATAATTTATAGATGGGTTTTGATGGCTTGTTTTTTGGTAGAGTTGATTTTCAAGATTATGCTGAACGAAACAAAACCAAAAGAATGGAAATGATTTGGAAAGGAAGTGCTAATTTAGGTGCAGAAAGTTGGCTTTTCACTGGTATATTGCCGAGAGTTTATACTGCACCACAATCGTTTTGTTTTGATTATCGTTGTCATGATGAGCCTATCAAGGTTAATTTATCATTTATATTTTCTCAAGTAACATTTAATTTTCTCATGCATAGGATGATCCACATTTGTATGATTATGATGTACCAGAAAGAGTTCAAGCATTTATCGATGCAGCACATATTCAAGCTAATAATAATATACGTCCAATGTATAATTATTTATGCATATATATATATATCCTTTTTAGGCTCGTAGTTATACAACAAATCATATAATGATGACAATGGGTAGTGATTTCCATTATGAGAATGCTAATGAATGGTTTAAAAATTTAGAAAAATTAATTAAATATGTCAATGCTCAGGTAATTATAAACACATCTGCAATTCCAGAGATCTAAAAAATCTTCTTTTTTTACAGTTGAATCACATATCCATTAAATTTTTCAGATAAAATACCTATAACTACAGAGGTGAGAATTAAAATAGTTTTATTGATGGTCATAGCCGAGTCAGCTGCTATTGTAAAACGAAATTTACAAATCGAATGCAGCAAAAAAGACAAATCATTTCACGTTCTGGAAAATCTACAACAATTACTGAAGAAAAATTCAATGAAATTGAGGCTATTTGTGAAAATGACTCACGAACAAGTATTCGATTTATTTTAGAAGCTTGCTCATTACTACAAAAAATAAAATGTCAGATTATGCCGGAATATCTCTTACTAACGCTAGAGAAGGGACAGTTTGTTTAAGAGTTCTATGATGAACAGTTACATAGACCGAGCACTTGATCCTAGTTCATTTTTGCAAGCATCATTGACTTTTTCTTCAGTAATTACTCAACGGCCATCGATTTTCAACAGTACTGATTTCAGAAAATTACTGAAATGTTTAGTTGGCGATCCTTTTTATAAATTCGATTTGAAATTATCTTTTTACAGTATCGACTTATTCAAATTTGACCATGAGTAAAACTATCTCAACTTTGACTTCTTTAGATGTAGACATTTTATCTGAAAACTTAAATGAGAATGTGATCAAACTGTAAAAAGAAAATGTGTTGAAATCCCTCGAATTACTGATGAACTAGTCATGCTTTTTTTATGATTCGGACTTTCGAAACATCGTATATTTAGCAAAAGAATGGTAGCGATGTTAATCTATTCTATTCTACTCCGACATGTTATTTATATGCATTAAACAAAGCCAATCGAACATGGACAACGAAGACAGATGATTTCTTTCCAATTTCTTTTAATCAACATGGGCTTTGGACTGGATATTTTACTTCGAGACCGGCATTAAAAAGATATGAACGTTATTCAAATAATATTCTTCAAGTAACAAGACAACTTAATGCATTTTCTAATATTACATTACGCCAAGCAATATTTCCTCTAAGTATAAACAGAAAGAAAAAACATATTCTCTTTTTACGTGATTAAAAATTTATAAATATACACGTATAGATGAAGCCATGGGCGTTGTTCAACATCATGATGCAGTTACTGGAACAGAAAAACAACATGTTGCTAATGATTATGCTCAACGTTTATCAGAAGGTTTGAATTCAACCTTTGTAAGAAAATCGATATACATAGAAACTGAAGATAAATTGTTTTCTCTTTGTATTCTAGTATGTTATTAATGAAGCTTATAAGACATTATTGTCGAAAGAAAATCAATCATTCTCAGTACCAACTCAATTTCTCTGTCACTTTTCAAATATTAGTCAATGTTTACCCATTGAAGGACAAGATAGCGTAAGTGAAAACATTTTCGTTAATATCATTTGTCAATGGAATATATTCAATAGTTTACAGTAACGATCTGGAATCCAAATATTCAACCCATTGAGAATATGGTCCGTGTACCAGTGACAAAGAATTATACGATACGATATCCAACTGGTGAAATGATTCCAGCTGAAGTAAATATTTATTGAATAGTTTCTTTTTTCGATTAATATGATTGTTTATTTTAATTGTTTAGCTTATTCCAATATCTACACCAATGAAAAATATTCCTGGTCGAACAAGTTCTGCCCAATATGAATTATTATTTCGAGCACTTATACCTGCTCTTGGTTTTAATACGTATTATTTTCAAACTACAAGTAAAAAAAATTAACAATTATTCAGTTTAATCTAGGACTTATTTTCATTAGCTGATATTACAATAGAGAAAAAATCTACAATAAGAATAACTAATAATGAAGCATGCATACTGCAAAATCAAGTAATGAATGATTGCAAGAAAATAGAAACAAATGTTATCTTTTTATTTTATGTAGTATCTTCGAATTAAGTTCGATGATCAAGGCAATTTAAATAATATTACTAATCAAGATAGAAATTTTACAGTGCTATTTTCTGCCCAAGGTTTATATTGGTATACAAGTAAATATCAATAATCTTTAATTAAATAGATTATTCTTTCATGATATTTTTCTATATTAGGTTTTCCAGGTAATAGTTCTAGTCCAGAATTTCAAGCATCAGGTGCTTATTTCTTTCGACCATTAACATCGAATCCATTACCTGTAAGCAGTTCACGTAATATGTCAGTATAAAATAAGGTTTTGACGATTTTTTTCTTCATAATATTTTTATTTGATTTTTAGAACATGTACTTATACAAATCAAGTGCAAAAAGCATTAATCGTATATAATGATTGGGCTAGTCAAGAAATCAAAATCTATGATGGTTCAAGAATAGCTGAAATTGAATGGATTGTTGGACCCATACCAATTGAAGATAATACTGGTAAAGAAATAATTATGCGTTATGATACAGATATTCAAAGTAATGGATTTTTCTATACGGATGCTAATGGACGTGAAGTATTAGAACGTAAAAGAGATTATCGATCAACATGGAATTATACAGTATATGAAAATGTTAGTGGAAATTACTATCCAGTAGCTAGTCGTATTTGGATTAAAGATAATAGACGACAAATGACTATACTTACAGGTATAAATAAAAAATTGTATTTTACATTTTTTTGAATCATATTTTCTTCGTTTGATTTAGATCGTTCGGAAGGTGGTTCAAGTATGCATGATGGTTCTGTTGAACTAATGATTCATCGTCGTACACTTTATGATGATTCACAAGGTGTAGGTGAACCAATGAATGAAACAGCTTATGGTAAAGGTCTTGTAATATGTGGTAAACATTTTCTCATTGTTGAACCACCGGAATATAGTGCTCTTTATCATCGTCCTATTGCTCAACAACTTTATATGAGTCCTATAAGTACTTATGCATTACCGAATATATCCTACACTAATTATTCAAATAGTTTTCGTCAAACATGGTCAGCTTTGACTGAATCAATGCCATATAATGTACATTTATTGACCTTCGATCAATGGACATCCAAAATATTTCTTATACGAATTGAACATTATTTTGAATTGAATGAAGACTACAATTATTCTAAATCAGTTCAAGTTGATTTACAAAGTTTTTTTAATAGTTTAGGTAATATAATTGATGTAGTTGAATTAACACTTGGAGCTAATTTACCATTGAATGATATGAAACGACTTGTTTGGACAACAAATAATAATGAATCATCTTATTCAAAATCAACAGGTAGAAAAAAAACAACTTTTTCTATTAAATTAATTCATTTGTTTATGATACTTTAGATTCAAACTCATTGAAGAGTACAGTAGTAGCACTCAATCCAATGCAAATTAGAACTTTTCAAGTTACATTACAATAAATAAAATCGACGAATGGAAATTTACTTTCTCTTTTTTTTCTCTAAATCAAATAAAAAATATCAATTAATCATCCAATGAGAGAAAATATTTTATATGCCATATGTCAATATGGTTGGAAAGATGATTACAATATCCATCATTTGATTTCTTCAACCAACCTTAATCGAAATGTTGAATAAAAATTTAGAAATCAGATGAAGAACAGTAAATAATATACATCAAACTTTTTTTAGAATAATTTTGAAAAATGGCATTGAGAAGAAATGAAATAAATTTAATGTTTCTTTATATGAATGTATGATAGATAAAATAGAAGCACGTTTTAAATTAGTAGTTGATCAAAATAATAATCAAATACACGAACATTTATAACTCGTAATTCATGAGAGCGTTGTCACAAATTCTCGACCATAGTAAAAGCTATAAACCTCATATTTAGTACTAAGTAGGCACAACAATCTGCCAAGATTTCAAAACGTTTAGTTCTTTTGAATACGAGAACGATGAATTTTAATGTAAGAACATCAATCAAAATTTATGGTGAAGTGAAATTATATATTTTATAAAAAAACAATATTTATCCATCATGATGGCTTTTATTTTATATGAACAAAATCTCATGTATTGATTGACATATTGCTGTTAATCACTTTTTTATTAAAATCTATACATTCATTGATCTATTTCAACAATCTAAAACAAATATCACGATTTTTATTTTCAGAAAGGTTCAAATATAATCATTTTAGATTGTTGATTTGTTTCTATTGATAAGATTATGACATATTTATCATGTCTGTATAAAGATATATATATATATGTTGGCATATATTCTAACGTGTTTTTTTTCCATTTCTATCATTATCTGTTGAACTGTGGACATGGTACACATGTTTGGTGATAATAGAAATATTTTATTTCAAGTATTGGCTGCCTATCGACGTTCCTATAAAATATTTTATACAATTGTACCTATCGTTCTTGGTTCATTCTCGATCATTACTCTTGGTTTGTTCATTGTTTTTATTCTAATACTGACTAATAGTAAACCAACTTCGACAATAGCATGTATTATTGGTGCAGTTTCAACTGGTATTTCTTTTTTTACTTCAACAATAATTACTATTCGTTTACTGGTCAAACATAAATATTATTATCATCAATTAAATTTAGTTTTTAGTGACACAACAGAACCAATTATATGGCGACTCGATGGAAACGAATGGATCAAGTAAGATTATTATCGTTTATACTTCTTTCCAATTAGTTTGACTTTTTTTTTTTTATAGATATTTAGAATATATTTTTGGACCTAATCGTTCACCTCAATTCGAACAAATATTTTCATGTTGGTTTTGTCGTCGTAAAAAATTTGCTCAACTCGCTACTCGAGGTTATGGCTATATAATTTTTGTTGAAAATGCTATTATTATAGATGAATTGTTTATCTATGATTTAAATCGAATACCAATCACTGGTGGTCAACTTGTTACTTTTGCTAATCAACAACTTGTACTTCGTATTTATTTCCAACCAAATATTATTTTTAAAAGTAAAAATAATATTCAGAATAACATAGATACAATGTGTCGACAAGTGGATCTTTTTGTACCAAAAGTATTGCAAGAACCACAAGAACGATTAGAGCAAATGATCGAATTGATAAGTATATCATCAAGCAATATTCAAAATATTATTTATAATTTTGTCAAAGTTCGTGATTTATTTCAATCATCTAAATGAATAAGAATAACTATTTTCGATTGAGAGCAAATTTTAAGAATCTTGTCTTTTTCTCATATTAAAATAAACAAATATATATATATATATCGCACGTCACTTGCTACTATTGAAATAAGAGTTTCTGTCACAAATATAGAACAAAAAATGATCAAATAAATTCTTAACTTGATTCTTTGGTTAAGGGAATAGATAGATTCAGTAATCAACTTACTAAAGTTAGCTTGCAGGGAATTATTAGCGGTAGTTTTCATCAAAATTTGACATATAGCAAATTGAGTATTGCAAGACAATAATGTTGGTAAACTACTATCAAGCCAAACTAATTTTATCCATGAATAAACAGTTATTCAAAAACTCTTGGTTCGATCTCGTTGTCTATTGTTTCGATAGAGAAAACACGTTGAACATATCGGACAGAACTTTTTTAGAGACTGAAAGTAGTCGTTTAATCCTACATGACAATATTCTTATTAGTATTTAACAACAAACGCTATTCCATTTGACTTAACATAGCTCTTATCTTTGAATCAAACAATAGGTTTTTCATATAAACCATGAGAACTGATAAATATTAATTATTGTTTTATATCAATTCATCTAACATTCGATCTATATTTCACAAATTGAAAATAAACAATTTTTTACGATTCGTTGATAACTGATTAGAAAAGAACAAACATCCTAACGACGATCTTGTCAGAAGCAAATGGTATTGCGAAAATATCAAAGTCTGAAAAAATGATTTTCAGATAGTTTAGATAACGTATTCGCTATATTTGATGGAGGAACAGCAGCTCTATCTTAAGCAAGTAACAAATATGTTTTTCTCAATAGTTTTCTAAATTACTTAGTAAAGATCATATGCATTGGTGACATGCTTTGGATATTGGAAGCACTTTTGGGAAAATAGAATTTCGACAGATTAGATTGAGTCAAGAGGAATTTTTTTTTCTGAAAATACTCAGCTGAACCACGATTCAATGAAGCAACTAATAAAATTTGAGTGTCATCATCACTTACTAATCATTTTCAACTACAGAAAGGTTTAATTAAAAAAATCTGAGAACTATGACTTCATGTACCTTAAACAACGTTTTGGATCTTTTATCTGTAAGTATGCTTTCGATGATTTTTTTGTCAAAGTCTTTCACCGAAAATGTTACTTTGACAGCATGATAAATTTGTTCTTTTACCACTTCAAAGCTGCAACACGAAATAATTTCAACTTTTAAGTCATTGGTAATCATTAAAGAAACTGGGTGTAATCGTGCAATTATTCTGCGGACACTCGGATAATTTGTTATGGCATGACATGTGTATGAATGCGTGAGAGACGAGATCATATTCATGTTCACACACATGATAAGATGCGCATGTGAGTCTCCAGTTCATCTTCTATTGACGAAACGAGTTCGGTATTAGCTTTGTTGGATATCATAATTTGTAGCTCGTCGTTATCTAGCGTAGGGATATGATGACATCTCTGGCTGTTCAACATATGAGAATTCATATTACAATTGTCATCAAAAATACATTTGTTTGTAAATAATGTTGTAAAAAGTCAAATATCTCTGTTTGTCTTAAAGTAATATTAAAAATATTAAAAACAAGACTTGATGAATCGGCTATGATATAATTTTATCGAGATATAAATATAAAAGTTGACTGTGTTCTTGATAGATTTTCTGAATACAAGAAACCGTCTTTCATTTGCTAGAATTATGGACTCCGTATCAATGTAATACATTTATGCATTTCAGATATAGGCGCCTATATTAATTATTTTTTGAAATAGATATTACTGCGTGGCTCCTTTCTTCTATTTGTCAAAGAAATCCTACCTATACACATCTCGAACATAAACATATGAAATTCTAATATGTCAATTTCATCATGTTCCTTTTTCTTGTTAATTACTATGTCATAAGCATGCTCATGAATAAGTTACGTATAGACATCTAAATCTACACTTCTTTGATAGAAACTGACGTCAAAACAAAATTGTTTTGCATCTATCTAAAAAATTATATACCATTTGGCTACCTTTTGATGAAAAAAAGAAGTTTCATCCATCAGAATGGCTTCACCATCGATAGGCACAACACTGATCTTCATTCAACAACAATTAACTCGTTATGTTTGTTCAGCATGGATTCTATTTGGTGTTCCAGGTTGTTTACTGAACGTTATACTTTTGTCAAGACGACAGTTACGCATCACATCGTGTTGCAATTGTAAGTGTGAATTATTAAATTAAACAGTATTTGCATAGATAAGTTCTGACCAGTTAGAAAATATGAGTGTTCAATTGAATGATGCACATCCACCATCGATCCTCTGTGTTTCTGTAACTCAAGCACATACCATGAATTTTTCATTACTTCAATAAGGATCGTTCGAATTAGAAAGAATGTTCCAAGAAAAAAGTTGCACTTCACGAAGAACTTCATCTGTTTTTTTCCAAAAGCATCCTAGACAAAGTAAACAGAAATTCTAAGATGTTATATTTTGAATTTTTCATCAAAGCTGCCCGTTCGAGCTGTTTATTCCTTTCTTTTATTAATTTGCTATTAATTGTTCTAGTCATTTAAGATTATCTGTCTTGTAGAGAGGGATTTTTACTTTAACAAGTTGATTTTAATATTTAACAGTATACTATGTTAGGTGGTGCAGTATTTTTTTTTACGGGATAAGCCTCGTAAGTTTTGACGATTTTTGTTAGGCTATCTTTACTAATAAGTCAAACTCAAAAAACTAAATCAAGACAGTTAATGTAGCTGTTACAGATGACTTGAGCGCACTAGCGAGTATTAACGAATAGAGAGATGTCTGACTGACATTTGACACGTTTTTAAGAATTTAAAAATATTTATACAATGAGACGTGAGCGAACATCGGAGATGAGAGTCATGATTAATGGAACTTTTTTCAACTGATCATCACAACATGTAAATGAAATATATTGATAAACGAATTACAATAATGATTTCCGAAGCTTTACAAAGTTGAGTAAAACTCTCATCAACTAGAGGATTACCATGAGCTTTGATTGTGATACTGCACGATTACTAGTTTTGAAATGTTTTCAAGCATTCGATATATAAACATTTGAATCATTTTCACAACGGATATTTTCCGCAGAAATTCTCTATTCAAGAAAAATTCATCATTGACCACAAACGATTATAAATAAATATCATCTTGGTAGTTTCATAAAGTCGTTCCATATCGGAATTTTTAATTCTCTTCAGATTAACTGTTTCTTTCATTCTTTAACGCGATACAGGCAACGTTTTTATACAAATGAAGTAAACTCAGACAATCAAAAGTATGTCAACGAAATTCTATCATAACCTACTCTTGTTTTAATTGATATGAATCACAACAAAAAATACGAATGACCTTTGCATCCATAAAAAAAAATAGGTAAAAATAGCAAGATATACGTCGCTATCGTCTTTCAACAACAGTATTAAAAAGAAAGAGAAATAGGATTCTTCATACTCATCAGTAGTCATATAAACACAATGACGTCAAAAGATCGTATGCCTTTTTAGGGAGTACTTAACAAGGTTATTTAAATGAATGACGATACTTAATAAATAAATAAATAAATAAAATCATATTCACATAAGAAAAATGTTTTTTGACATTGCATTTTTTCTTTCATTTGAGTAAGCTTTTCAGTATGTTCGGCAATCGTTGTATTTATTTACAATTTTACCGTCAATATAATTACAATTAACAGATCATTCTACTTTTACAAATACAATGACAATACGACATTGGATATGTTCTTACCTTTCTTAATTTTTTGACTGAAAAATAGACTATTTTCATTTTAGCAGCACGTATTTGTCTGGAACACAAGATTTCCAGTAACGGACCTAGTATTTTAATTATTTTGAATTTTCTCTGTCAAAAACAAACATGCAATAGTCTATTACAATCTAATTGAAACAAATATAAAATTAGTTGACAGAATGCCTTGAACATCTGGTCTGACAGACAGACGTATTACATCGAAGAATTATTTGCAAAATATAGATGTTTTAGACGTCTTAGATGATATAAAAGATTCCTCTGTCATTAAGTCAAACGCGAAAGCTTAAAAGATGTATGTAGGCACACGAAAAATGTAATGTATAAATCCATGCATTGATTTTACATGACATACATGTGAACCTGCCGGGAATGACTCTATATTGGCGTTGACACGTCATGGCCAAGGGGGAACCAGCAGAGACTTCAGCCCTGAAGTCTCATGAAGTCTTGTAAGTCTTTTGAAGTCTTCTGAAGTCTTTTGAAGTCTTTTGAAGTCTTATGAATTATCATAAAGTCTCATAAAGTCTCTGAAGTCTTTGAAGTCTCTTGAAGTCTCATGAAGTCTGATGAAGTCTTTTGAAGTCTCATGAAGTCTCTTGAAGTCTCTTGAAGTCTGATGAAGTCTCTTGAAGTCTCATGAAGTCTCTTG